CTGGGATGTGAGAAAAAGCTTCCCAAACACAGTGCAAAGTATTGCACTTCCATCTTATTCACAGGAGCTGCAAGCAAAAACAGATGGTCTTGGAAGACCACATTCGGATATTGCAAGGCAAAAATTGGTATAAGCAAGATTTCCATTTGCTCCCCCTCTCCAAGGGAGACACCGGCTTCTACCTCAGAATTTGCTTCACCACCTAGTCTCAGCTGGAAATGTACCTTCACTGAAATTCTGTCTTGCTGCAGACTGCACATGTTACTCCTGAGCAACAAGCAATGTATTATTCTGAGAGATATGTTCAGCTTGCATAAACTATACATAACTCATTCATCTTCCAGCTGTCTCATGGCATCTGGTGACTTTCATTCCAGGTTATGATTCTCTGTGTTCAGCCAACTGAGGTGAAAACAGGAGGCTTTTGTGGAACAATGGTGCTGCAAAGATGCACCTCTGAAACTGTTCAGCAAAGCCTTGTTGGAAAATATGTTGTCAAACCATAGAATCTTCCCCCTCATGATTATATTCAAACCATCTTTACATGCTCGGATTCAAGCTGAAAACACTGTATTTTTTGAGAAAAAAAAATTCCTCTGAGTTTGCTTTTGCTAAACATTTATTTTACCACGCCACTACCCAAGAACTATAATCAAAATAATTTTGCAGGACCTGAACCCAGCAAGATTTATCAATTTGAGTAATTTTCTTTAAATACCATCTCTGTATCACACAAATAAAGACTAAAAGAAGTGGATCTTCATAGTAACAAAGTGCAGTCTGCACTTTTTCTACTGTTCATAATGAAATCTCAGCTTCCACAATGCTCTGACCTTTCTGCTACCCTTCCCATGCCCCCCAGAAACACCTGAGGGCTTCAGGACCTACTCTCTACCAGTTTGCTTGCCCCTCTGCTGTACTGGGAAAAAATATGTGCACTGCTCTTTATACAAACTGTATTTTAGACAGTCTGAAATATAATTGTTGTCATCTTATTGCAGTGGTTCCACACTGTTGTCTCCTTATCACAAAAGTTTCATACCTCCTTGGTGGTTTCTTGTGGGCAGCTTCTCAGAGCACTGCCTCTTTGTTCTTCTCACAGCAGCCAAGTGACTCCAGTTCCCTTCTCACGCAGCCACCCCTCTCTTTTATAGCACTCTGCTTCTCATTGGCTACAGCTGTGGCTGTTAAAGTCAGGCCTGCTCCTAATCTTTGCTAATTGGCCCAGCTGCAACTCCTTAGGAGTCAGATTACTTTCAATACTATCTTTATTTTCTTATATTCTATCCCCCTATGTATTATCAGAAATTAAATTTTAATTTTCTAGAAACTATTTTAGTGGAAAAGTCCTAAATGGCATTTAAAAAAAAAAAATCATCAAAATTAAAGCAAAAAACCCCAACAGCTACCTCCCAGTTAACTCCCTTCAGGAAATCTATGGGAACATCACGGGCTCCAAAATCTGCCACGAGCTGTTAAAATCAACCTGCTGCAAGAGGCAACTTTCTGCAACTTCTGCTGGAGTTAGAAGTTGGCACCCTGCAGCTGGCACACCTCACTGTCCGGGAAACCACCACAAAAGCTGCATGGACATTTCTTCAGTCACCTGCTCCTGACCACAGCGTCCCTACGGCCACTCTGGTATTTGCCTTACCCCCAGAAGTTCCATTTTCCAAACTGGAACAGAAGTGAACAGGCAAATGCAGCTAAGACAATAGCTACATCGCACACACGGGCCTCAGGAGAGAACTGGAACAGTGAGGCTAAAGCAAAAAGTTGTTTTATGGATACCAAGTTGTAGCCAGATCCAACTCTTCTTCCCAAAGAGTTCTTACAAACCCCCCAACACAAGCTGCAGCCCAGATTTCCCATGCCATGTCAAACTGGGGAGAAGTTTAATCAATTTTCTGAACTTTCCGGGTAGCAATTAAGCATTTCAAATTAACTGAATACCAACTTTCATTTCAGTATTTAATCCTCGAAACACATCTATTTATTTTTCCATTCTGTCATTATTAGACCTGAACCACTGCAATCCACACCTAAAAATCACTAGGCAGTATTACAATCAAACTAAAGGTAAAAGCTAAGGCTTAATCTAAGTTCTGTAAAATGTTCCTACTAACATAAAGTCCCTATCAGATCTTATGAGAAGTAATGTGTCATAAAAGAAAACAAGCCCCAACAAATCAATAATGCACTGACCTCATTAAAAGCAGCACCTCACATTAACTCAATGCAAAAGAACTCTAGCACACAATATTCCATATAGAACAGAATGTTTAATTATTCCTATAGGCCTTCACTTGCTAATTTACTGAAACAGTTTGTTTTCAAAATAACCATGAATGCAAAGAAGTGAGATAACAAAACCTTTCTGGAGATTCAACCAAAGGCATCTATTCAACACCACATTTCTGTACAGCTGAAAAAGCCTGTCAAATAGTTGAAGTGAACACAATGCTTAAACAACATACTTATATGGAAATGAAATATATTAACTCCCTAGGGAACAAAACCAAGATTCAAGGAATTTCTGGAGGGGAAGAAAAACAAAGGGGAGGGAAAGCTTGGGGGGGGGGGGACGAAGGGGGAAGAGAAACAAGATGTCTTTCAAAGCATTTGTTTCCTTTTGATAATCAGACTGCCATAAAACTCTCAAAACCATGGGGGGTTTGTTTCCTTTGAATCAGAAAACTCAGGAGAGAAATGGATGCTAATTAGGCAATAAAGGCATAAAATGTTTTGGAAATGGACTTCAGGATATCAGTCTAGATGAGCATAAAGAAGCTGTAGAAAGAACATGATCTGATCCCTTTTTGTTTTAGAAAAAAACCCTGTCCTCTCTCAATATTAAAATTTTCATCTGGATTAAAAAAAAAAAAAAAGACAAAAAATGGCAACCAAATTCAGCCCTTCCAACAGTGATTTCTAGATCTCATGAAAGCTTGCTAGGGAGCAATTGGTGTGAGACTCAAAGGCACTGAAGACAGCAGAAGTGAGAGCCACAGAGGTATATGTAACATTTATGAAGCCACAGAAAATACTAGAAGCAAATTTGTGGCAGAAGCAACCTACAAGCAATGAAAATGTCTCCAGAACATGTCAAGCAAGCCTACCACTGAATTTCCTAGTAAGCTTTATTCTATCTTTAAAACCTATCTTTCAACCATAGCATCCTGAGCCTGTCAGGTATCAATGCCTGCTTTCTTATAAATGCAAATCCCCCTAATTTTTAGTTTGAGTTCTACATGCTGGGATGAAACCTGGGCTCTTCAAAGCTGGTATAACTGAGAAGGCTCCTCTCAAGTGTGTAAAAACCAGTCTTCCACTATCATCACCATAAGCACCATCTTCTGAAACCATCCCAATATGGTCTTCATAATTGTTGTCTTCAGAAACTGAAGTGTTTATGTAAAATGTTTTCCACAGGTTAACAGAAAACATCAGCTCTCTCAATTACTACCTTTAAGTTGTGTTTTAACAATAACACCAGGTGAGCTCTACTTACAAGAAACATTTGCCTTTCCTCCTCTTTCCTTTATTTTTGAAGACTTGTAGGAACTAGAAACAACTTCAAAAAACAGAAATACATTACCAGGAAAATATAAATTACACACCAAGTGAATACTCTGCATTTTTACATCTGGAAATAAAAAATGCATATAAAAACAAAAGTGCCTGCAGTTATGATTCAAGACAGCACTTAACCACAAAAATGAAATCTAGCTTATGGTTTTCTGTCTTGAATCTAATGGCTACTTCAGAGGCCACATAGAGAATCAAACCACTGATCAAATAACTGTGCTGTCCTCCCCAGAATTATTTTGGTTTCATTTGAATTCTTTTTTGTATGCCTCACAGGAAAAGAATGTGCAGCAGTCATATTCACAAGCCTAAATACCTGAGCTTGTCTGGGACAAAGGCAATTAACACTTTCTACATTCATTTGATGTGGAAATGCACATTCTCAGCTTATGCAATAACTTATGGCAATTTAACCTAATCTTATGCAAGTTAACTACACTTATTCTCTAATGAGCTGCATGGGTGACCAGCAAAAGCCAATGTTTTGTTGGTTCATCCCATTAAAACATATAAATAAAAGTATCTAGAGAAGTTTTGCATTCTACTCCTACTACGAAACCAGGTAATTTTCCCTGATGTTAAGGTTGCATGTTTGTCATAAGGTGGGATCTTCACTTGTCAGAGGAATCATGCATATGTCCCTGTCCACCCTGGATCTTTTAATATGAGACCAATGGCATTTGTGACAGGACTAAATAGCCTTGACACCCTAAGTGACATGAACAGGCAACAAGGTTGTTGTAATGAAAAAGCGACGAAGAAGGAATTCTTTGAACTCCTTTGCCCACAGAAGGGTTTCCGATGCTAAATGGCTAGAAAACTTAATCTAGGCTCTGGGCAGCAAATTTTCCAAACAGCACACAGGAAATATTTTACATTTCCTGTAAAAATTATGACATACATCTCCCACCTCTACCACCAGCAATGTGATTTACAGCCAAAACATTGGCAAATCCCTCAGCTGAAGCCTGCAGAGAGATCTTTGCATCATCAGAGTTATTTTAATGCAACTGAAGCTTTGTTGTGGGTGGAGTGAAACAGGTTCTAAAAATACTTTAACTACACAGAACATTTCCTACTTTGCCCATTCCCTAAGAAAGGGATATCGGAAGTGGCTTCTAAATGTTAAGATAGGATGGTGGCCTTTAAATAGAGACAAGTAATGCCACAGAGGTTTGTGCACAGGAGCCAGGGCTTGATAAATCTGGGGATCATGAAGCTTGATACAGTGACAGGATGACTGAAGTTACAGATTCAAATGACAGATTAGGTATCCTTTGCAGTCTAAGATAACATAGAAATGGTACAATTTTGAACAAAAAAAGAAAATGGAGATAAAATTTTGAAAATTCTTTAAAAACAGAGATCATTTGGTTCATACACCAGATATTAGATTCAATGCCATTACTTACCAAGCCAGCTATTGGAGTTGGCAGACGATTGATCTTCTTAATGATGCCAGGTTTGATCTTGTTAATCAAACTAAAAAAAAGTTATATGAATTTCTGTTAAATATTTTACTGCACTTAAGCATGAGCATTGATGCTTATTAAGAAATACTTTGCATGTGGTCCTAACGTAGCATCATTTGAATGAGTTTGAGCTGAATCTATTAACACTCCCAAGAAGTGACAAGCAAAAACAGATTGTAGAAGCAAAAATGAAACAAGTCACACACAAAGAGGTTTCTGGGAACAGCAAAGCGAGAAAGAAAAGAAAATGCCTGAGGAGGCGTGGGCAGAAAAGGATCTGTGTTTCTACTACAAGGGTGGTGATGTTAATTGGATTCAGATTTCCTATTTATAGCTTTTCTTCTCATAAAGGTTCTGAGCAGATGTCAAAAATGTACCAGAATATTGATTTTCAGAGTTCAGTGTGATAGCACTAATATTCCTGAAAGGGTGGGAAATAATCTCAGTTTTCACAATGCTACCAAGTCCAGTATGCTGTGTGCAGCAATCATTTTTGGCACACACAATTTACCTGCACAAGTCCTTTTCCATCTCAGTCAGAAGAGACTGTACCTGATATCATTCTTCACATAAAATTCACAATTAAGCTGAGAAGATAGGACAGACTAACACATCACTGTTGAATACATATGCCCAAATGCATGCCTTATCCTGTAGTAAAGATGAGGCACAGATTCCTTGCAAGTCTATACCCAAGTTTTCAATAACGAAGCTACTGAAATATTGTGGATCACCAAATTACACACTGGACCAGAGGGTCAGTGGAGAACAGGGACCTCAGGACACCCTGCAGACTTCATCTGCCTCTATACCTTTGAGTATTTTTTTACTTGCTCTCATTTCTTGTTGCTGCTTCTCTGGCCAGACCCTTTACCCCACACAAAGCATCAGCAAGGCTTTGTAATCTACCCACACCGGTGCAGAGACAAGACCTGGAGTTTAAAACTCTGTGTGGAGGGAAAAGCATCTTTTGCTCAAGCAGAAAATGTACTTCGGAATAAACACAAAGAACAGTTGATCCCTATACACTGGAATGAAGGATATATTTCTAAATACCTGAATACCTGCAGGAACAAAAAAAAAAAAAAAAAAAAAAAAGAACTACAGGTCCTGAGATTTTTCAATAACACTGAGTTATTTAGCAAACAAGACACATTTGATTACTTTTCCTACCCAAAAAGTGACCTGTTGAGGTGGAATAAAAAAAAAACGGTTTGAATTCCTCTCCTTTTATTTTTAAATCTTCCAAATGCATAATTTTAAAATTTCTTTTACTGAAGAACATGACGTAGCATGTGACCAGAAAAATTTCAGTAAATTTCTTTCTCTAGTGTGTGCACACTAGAATTGGCAAAATGTAAAAGGCTTCATTTTGTCAACTACTGATCACTCAGCCAACGTGTACACTTAGTCATTGAGTAGGACAAACAAACTGACTGGATGCTATAGGAATATGTGGTGCAAGTACAGGTCTTATCTGCTATGGTTTAAGTCAGATCTACAATCTACAGAGATAATACATCCACCTAAATTAGCCATGCTACAGGTGAACAAAGGAAATGGATGATCTAATTTCTAGTTTGTCTCAATTATTTGCACTATATTGTCGTTGGTGAAAACTGGGCATGTGAAAATTTTTGGCATCTGCTCTTTCCTGTTTCCACAGAAATTCTACAAAAATTTTGACACAAGAGAACAGCTATTTTAGTACAACATAATAAGGCACCTTTTGCTTTAAAGAAAGTTGCATGCCTCCTAAGGGAAGCTGGTCACTAGAATGTCTTGGGTTGCAATGCAAGATGTGGCTGCCACTTGTTAAAACCAGGTGGGGCAGTTTTCTTTATGTCTTCCACAACCTATCCTCCCTCTGGTAAATATCTTCTCTTAATGTGCCATTGAGTGTCACTGATAAAATTACATCACCCGATTGTGACATGCTCCACCCAGGGGGAGGAGCCAAGCATTCCCACCTGGATATAATCTGAGATTTGGAAGAACAGAGACAGCTTTTTCCCACTGGATTCCCAGAGGAAGACCAGGGCCATCAACACCACCACTGGACCTTCAGAGGAAAACTACACCCTTCTACAGGATCACTGCTTCAGCAGAAGCACATCTGTCACTGCAGGAGGACTGCAGCCACCATTGAATGGGACTGCTACCAACATCCCGACCCACAGGGTGTCAGGTCATATTCTGACTTTGTCAGTGTTGTTTTGTATTAATGCTTTTTTTTTTCCTAATAAAGAACAGTTATTCCTGCTCCCACATATTTGCCTGAGAGCCCCTTAATTTCAAAATTATAATAATTCAGATGGGAGGGTGTTTGCATTTTCCATTTCAAGAGAGGCTCCTGCCTTCCTTAGCAGACACCTGTCTTTTCAAACCAAGACACTGAAGAAATTGCAGGATGTTTTTTCTTGCATTATTATTAATTACAGATAAATTTAACTGACTTGCATTTTGCAGATGGATCCTCATTCTATTGTCAAGTAAGTATCAACAATGAAGATATCAGAATATTAGTATGTATCAGTTAATAGCCAATTCTTAAACATCTGAATACAATATATACACCCCACTTAATACTTTCTTATTAAAAGTACAAACTATTTTTATTACCACAATCACACTCATTAAAATATAATTACATAAGTAATGAAAATAGAGCATCCAGCTCTACAATATCACAGATAACTTTAGAAGCATCTAGCAAGATAAGACTGGAAGGCAAAGAGTCCAAAGCAAAATAAAGGTAAGGACAGAAAACGTGGTGATATACACAGAAGGAAAAAATTATGTATAGGAAAAGAAGCTCAGAGATCTGAACTTGCACAAATATTTTCTAAAAGTTCAGATTTGCTGAACTGATTTTAGAGTGGTTCTGGGCTTTGTGGGTTTGGGTTTCTTTAAGGTTTGTTTGGTCAGTTTTGTTGTTGTTTTTACCAGCTCTCTAACGAGATTGCTCTTGCACTGGTGTTCTAATGACATTTACAACTGCAGTTTGTTAAAATACTAAGGGATTAGCACCACTTCCAGTCCTGGAAACCTGTTCCAGTAGGTATCAAGCCAATTACAGATATGTGGATGAGACCTGTTGAGTGGACGTTTTACACCTCTGACTCAGTCTAACAACGAAACCAGGCAAGTCCCATCATTGCCAAACCTACAATATATAAGCATGAGGAAGCTTCTTACAGAAAGTGCTCCAAAACAAGCTGAGTGTAAAGTTGTGTGAAAGGAATAGGTAGTTTCAGGATTTATGAAATCAGCACTAAAGGGCAGGGGATGGAGGACAGAAATCCAAACCCAAACAACAGCAGTGGGTAGAGGGGTAACTGTGTGCTTTGATCCCAGCTACAGCCACACCGCCTTGCAGAAGCTGAAGAGAAAGCCCAGAGATATCATGGGCATTATAACCAAAACCAATATAACCAATCAACAACAGCACGGTCCTCTCAGTATGAGACAAAGAAGTGTGTGGGACAACACAGTGAACATTTGGATCTGGAAAGAGTATGTCCAAAACCTGCTTTTACTTCCCATGACAAACAACAGGTATTATAAAATTTAAGTTATTTACTACAAAATACTTTTGGTACTTCAAAAAAAAAAAAAAAAATTCAGAGGCCAGGAAGGAGAGAGGCCAGCTGATGTTAACCTGAAGGGCTGTTATATAGGTAAGTAAGCCAATACTCACTCGCACAACAGGACTCCGTTTTCTAGAGCTGCTCGAAAGTCTTTAGTTCCAAAGCTTTGCCTGGTAACCGCCTATAAGAATCAGAGTTGAGAGTTAATTGGACACACAGACAAAATCAGCACTAGAAAGAAAATCTTAGTAGTAGTAGTTAAAAACAAACAAACCCTGATTTAACACTTAGTTCATACTATTATTTTCTTACATTAATTTCAAAGAAGCAAGTGTTTAAAAGGCGGTTCTTTATGCCTCAAAAGATGTCAGATCCAACATCTTAAAATAGTTTCCTCTAGTGTAAGTCAATCTTCAGCTAAATTCTGTGGGAATACTTATTTTCTGAAGCAATACCAGTCTCATTGAAAAGCATAAAAGAAATTTCAAACAGAAATACAAAAGAGAGAGAAAGTCTTTTATCTCCTACTTCATGTTACAGCGTGTATACCCATGATATCTAGCACAAAGTATTTTAATAGTGGGGGTTTTTGTGCCACTTGCACCTAAGGCAGTGTGACTAAAAAACCATTCCAAGTCTGCATTACCACGTGCACATCAATTCCCATTTCTTGGCAAATGGCAGGACTATACTAATGGGACTTGTTTGTATACTCAGAGGAGCAAAACAATGAGCAAGAACAACGTCTTATAATGGACATAAGATACCCAAAACCAAAAGAAATGACTACAAGTTTTCAGCAAAGTAGTTGTCAAAAAATACCCCAAAACCCCAAAAAACAAAGCATTTGCTCAAACTTATACTCACTTGGAGCCACTACTAGATTCCCCCCCTGTGCCTACATTCCCTGCAGGGACCAAATCTGGTAGATTTCTTCCAAACACCCAGATTAATAACCCACATGCAAGTCAAAAAAGGAATTTTATACAATTCTGCCATCAGTCCAAAAGAGAGGTTTTAGGTCAGCTGGGAACAGAAATCAAATACTAGGAATTGTATTCATTTGAGCTTAGATGTCACCATGTTCAGCCACCAGTTAATTATAAGCCAGCCTCTGGGGATCCTGACCATCCTCAATCCTGTGCAGGAGTTCAGGCACACAGTTCAAAGTGCTGTGGAACCTGCATGCATCCAGAGCAAAGCTACTGGTTATCACAGTAAGTAAGGAAATTATTACTGAAAAGAATGAGCTTTGCTTGGTAAAAAGAGCAAAGGACAGGATGAAGCTGTTTTAGGAGCTGTAAAATTATTACATTACCACCCTATCGGTTTTTTTAATTCCAAGAGGGATGCACATTAACACCAGAAATCCTTCAATTAAGTAATTAGCTCTAACATAGGTTTTCTTTTCATTCAAATGCTAAAAGGTCAATCTTCCTATTGAGAAGAAAATTAGATATTACAAAAATCTTCTTTTGTGTTTAGGGTTTTTTCCTAAAATGTAACAGATAGTGACAGAAAATGAATGATGGCATGGCAACTCAAGATAAGAAAAAATTCAAAATTCAGGGAAAGAAAGGATGATAATGATTCCCCTAGGAGAATTGCACTTTATACAATATTCATATAACAACAGTCTGTTCCTACAGAAAACTAGAAGTTGCATCTTAGAAATATAATTGTCAATAATCACTTAAAAACACAGAATCTGAGAACTACCCTTATCTCATACGTGGCATATTTTTTTTCCAAACCTGTATACTTAGTGATAATGATTTTGAGGAAGCTAGCCAATGTAACATAACAACAGCACGGAAACTTTAGGAATATATATTTATGTTCCCCAGGTTATAGGGAATATGAGGAATAGGAATACCTAGTTTAAAATGATGCCCTTCATTCTGCAAGTTAGAAATTTGACATTTGCATGCCATACATTAGAACTGTACTGTAATAAGGGTCGTAGGTCTGGAATCTAGCTTTACAGCTATGTTTCAATCTCCAATAAATTCTTAAGAATTCTAAAGTTGTTCTTATTGTGGAGTTGTCACTGACATCTACAGGACTACATAGTCAAAATGTTTGTGTTTATAGCGAGTTTACTGTAAAGTCATGCATGCAATAGATGATAAGGTGTTCCCTTCAACAAGAGTTGAACCCATCCCAAGCCTGCAATGTCTTCTAAACCCACAATCAACCTTCACAGTGAAATCCCTCCTTTTTTTTTTTTTTTTTTTAAAAAAAAGGGGTCCTAGAATTGAGTATGTAGCTAAGGCCCAATCTCCTCAAAAATCATTCAGAGGAAGACAAGAAACATGTGCCACTGAAGACAAATTAGACTTCAGAGTAGCCCCTCCAGAACACAAGAATGCCACACTGCAATGCATAATCCTGTTTCCTTGAACAGCAAGAGTCCAGTTTGAGTACAAGGCTGTGACTGCCTCTATTAGACTTGCAGACCTCTTAAAACTACACTAGAAGACATTACACTGGAAGCATTTTGACTAAGATATTTGTGCAGCTGCTGCAGCAATCAACACTGATTTGCTACACAGGATGGAACTGTCAGACTGATCTTGTGACCCACTGATTTTGACAACTACATGGCTTGTTGATATTAAAATAAAAGCATTGGTTCTGCCAAGTTAGGTTTCATTAATACTGACTTTCAAAGGATAACTAATAATTAAGTAATTAGGAAGTATTCTCAAAGAACAATTTAACATTGGTGCATGAAACCAAAACATTTTCCAAGTTGCACAACAACTTGAATTTGTTGATGTCACAAAAGTAAGTGCTCCATTTTAAAATCTGTTTCTGTACAGAGGACTTTTCTCACTATGGATTTTCATCTGGCTTATACCCAGTACAGAGCTTCAAGCTCAGCTCTAACTATGATAGTCTACCAGGAAACAGGAACCGTTAAAAAAATGCAAAGACACAGACTGCCTCAGAGTTCCCTGGATAAACCTAAGTAAGACAAAGTGAATTCCACCCTAAGATATTACATCTTCAAACTATGTCTATGGTTTCTGAGTCATTGTTTGTTCATGAAAACTGCTTATACTGGGTGTGGTACTCTTATGTAATTGGCATAGTTGATTTTGAACAATTTTTCAACCACTTAGCCATGTGAGCCACCAAATAATAAAGAAAATACCTTACAAGAGTGATTTCTATCCATCTTTGAACAACATCCCTCTCCAAATTATATGTCTCTTTTCTCTCCTCCATTCAGTTGAATATATTCTGCTTCGATCACTGCTTTTTTTGATAGAATGAGAGCAATGACATAATTAAAGGCTATATAATAAAATCAAATTTATTTGCTGCTATAAAACAGTTTAATGTTGTTTTTCAAAGACAGCACCCCCTAATACTTAGGTAATTTGCAATTGCCAGGTCCAACCAATTTTCTTCAAAGAGTATGCATATCAAGTCTTTATTTAAATTTAGACATTTTAAAAATGCTTACACACAGAGGACTAGTTTATTTTCAGGTTTGCTGTGATTCCTGTAACAGGAGACAAATCACGAATAACCAAAGATAACCATTCTGAGCATGGCATGACATCAAGCTCATCATGACCTGAACAAAAAGCACATAGCACAGAATATGCTGATTGTATGTCCAAGTACCTAAATAATAATTGAGTACATTTCTTTGGCTTGCTGTACTGGAGGCCAAATATAGCTGATCATAAGGCAGGGCTCCTTTGCCTTACAATCTATCCCAAGTTAAAAGATTCTTTCAGTGTTAATATAAAAAAATTACTGAAGAAGTTCATATCAAGTTGTTTCCATGGTTTACACAGGTTTGAATGGCTCTAGCAAAAAGGCAGCTCTACCACAGGCCAGTCAATGTTTACCACAACATGAAACTCAAAGTGAAGGGACTGGTAGGTTTCCCAATTTAACTTTGCCGTGATGGAAACAGCCAAAGTAGACTCTGCCCAACCAACGCAAGAATCCTGCCATGTACCCAGGCATGCTGGCTGACCAGTTCTCCGTCACAACAGTGTTAGCTGCCCAGAGCCAAGGAGGCAGGGCTGCACCACACCCAGCCTGCAATCTCAGCAATGCCTTGGCACAGGTACTCGCCATCCAGCCTGCTCTCTCCACCTCATTCAGAGCTCCTCTGCCACCCTTCCTTTAGACTACAACACCTCAAACCATGCAAGGTCCCTATGCCTCAACTTGAGAGAAATGCTGCTTGCATCAGCCTCAAGCACACAGCTCCCTGATGCAAGGACGTAGGTTAGGGATGGAAAGAAGATGCAAGATACTGAACCACAGATGGCAGCAACTGCCTGAAGGAAGGCTTATACCAGGATCTCATGAGGCAAACAATTACTCAGAGGGCAATTAATCAGATCAACACTGATTTATCAATTTCAGGTCCCCAGCATGGTCTGCAGCAAGAAAAGACAAATTTTGCATGCTGAAGAGAGGACTGGCTGTCTTCTGCAGGGAACTGGGACAGTGATGCAACAGTGATGCAATGGTGCCATCCCCAGTACAGAATTTTGGCTACACCTGTCAGTTCCTGTCACAACGCCTGCCTGAGCAGATCACCCCATGTACATATGAATGTCCAAACTCCTACCTTTCCAATGGCCTTTCTTCTCCCTCCCCATTACCACAAATCTGGATCAGGCTACACAGCAAATGGCTGTCTTTAAATAACCCCAGCATTGCATTCTTCCATTTACAGAAGTCCTTTGGCTATAACTGCCTTCATGCAGTGCAGAATGGTACTGCTCCTGCAAGACGCATAAGGAGATACACTGGCTACACCCCAGCCAACAAGCAAGCATGCAGGCAACTCCCAGTGTGCTGGCATCTGTACAGCATGATCAAGTCTGCAAGTAGATTCACAACATGTTTTCAAGTAGCATTTTGAGTCCACTGCATTTTATATCCAATTGTCAAAACATGGTATATCTCAGCTTGACAGATTTTTCTTGTCCATCACGGAAGAAGAGCAACATCAAAAAAAAAATACAAAAAGGCAGTAAGGATTTTTTTCCTCTTCTACATTCAGAGGCATTACCCAGAGTCCTACCTCCCCTTTTCATGGCTATTTGCAGTTCCATTTAAATGCCATGCAGTACATGAGCTTGTGTTTGAACAGCTTATGTGGTAGCTACCAGAAAATGCCGTCATTATGCTTTGAAGTAAATAGCTTGT